CCATCTTTGTGTGGTCTCAGGAACAACGACTGATCAAGCTGAACCATCTTTGTGTGGACTCACGAACAACGGCTGTTCAAGCTGAACCATCTTTGTGTGGATTCAGGAACAACGGCTGTTCAAGCTGAACCATCTTTGTTTGAACTCACGAACAACGGCTGTTCAAGCTGAACCATCCTTGTCTTGGTTCCCAACCCGACTCACGAGCAATGTCACACACGCACACAGGCGCAGACATATATATGGATCCATGGAATATAGAAAGGGACAGTATAGAAAAGTGCGATAATGCGTGATCATCAGAAGGGTAAATGTTCACACATTTTTGGATGTTTTACTTGTTGCCAAAGTTTGAGTTATCTCGATAACGAGGAAAGAATGTCCCTTTATATTCCATATGAATCAGTGTCGTCTGTAGATCTATCCAAAGAAGATCGAAGAGACGATGCTTAACTTATTTTAAGGTGTATATAATGGTCAATGGTGCGAATGAGATTTCTGTCAGTACCATACGGCTTTCTGTCAGTACAATAACCTCATGATTGACTATTACTTTTGTTACAAACGACTTGTTAGACACACACAAGCTGTAACTTTCTATTTATGTTCACTTTGTATTTGTATTTGATGTAATGTGTACAAACATATTATTTAAATAATGTCTATATCGATGACGTCACATCCTTCATTTCAACATGTAATATATGTTGTATGTGAGCGGTGTTAACATAAGCTGTAAAGCTTGTTCACCAATCCCAACTCATTTCAATGAATAAAAATATGTTTAAACCATAAACCATACGGCAGATTCATGAAGCTGTTCATCCCTTTAGTTACTGACGATCTCCAGCCCATTTTTATATTGTGTTGTAAACTCATACATTCTGCTTTTAAATATTCTCAACTAGTTTTAAATCGAATCTGTGATGTTCGAGTTATTGCTCTGTCCATCGTTGACAGCTTTTTATTCAGTCAAAACATATGTATTATTAATGTATTACTTCTCGTCACGATATGGCTGAAATACTGCCGGTGTGACGTTAAATATTAACTCACTCACTCATGAAGCTGCTCAGATATATATGATTAATAACAAGATGTATATCTCAAGGTTGCGCATTCCCCGGACTATAGGTTATAGAAAGCAGGCAGTGTTAGACAGCTTGTTAAGATTCAAAGGACGCTAGTTTCACGTCCACCGAATGTGTTTCTTTAAAAGGGTAAAATTGAAAGGTATATGTGTAAGTTAATGGCACAAAGACACTTTTCTCCACAGGCAGTCGGAGAATATCTTTAGACAGTAAATATATTCGTCATTTCATAGAAAATAAATATCCTGAAAGGTTCAAATGACAAGGATAAACAGACACGCCCGGCGCGGATAATACATGTTGTAAGTAGGATCTGCCCAACAGAGATCCTTTCAACAACCCATTCAGCTGGCCACAAAAGCAGTGACTCTCACACGCCTAAACTCTCATAACAGGTCCGACCAATAACTTATAATGCTTCTTAGCTGCATGTCGCTAGTTAAATTTATGTCTTTTCAAACTGACTTTTATTTGAACTCGTTTGAGAAGGTAAAATGTAAAATAAAATGGCGTACGTGCGCTATCGCAATCCACGTCAGACATGTATACTGACTCAATGAAAACACATAATCATCTTTAATTTGGAGATCAGGAAAGATGTTATTGTGCTCAAGTCCATCTCCAAACTCATCAAATTGGCTCGAAGACATTGTTGTGTTTGATTATCTCACGCCTAAATAACCAGAACAACTTAATTTGATTTTTGTGCCCATTTTGCCAAATTTAAATAATGTTGAATATTATGGTGGCCGAGAGGGGATATCGCTTTCTGCAGGTAATGGTGAAAGATTAGAGGTATAAAAGGCAAAATAGCGATGAAAATTATAGGAATGGATCACTGAATATCAGCAAGAACATTTTCAATATACGGCATTATGGGAAATATCGCTTTCTCCCTTTCTCGTATGGTTCTATCGCTTTCTCGCTTCAGGGGTTTCTCGTATGGTTCTATGTCTTTCTCCATGTATCACATCGTTCTATCTCTTTCTCCATGTATCACCTCGTTCTATCTCTTTCTCCATGTATCACCTCGTTCTATCACTTTCTCCATGTATCACCTCGTTCTATCACTTTCTCCATGTATCACCTCGTTCTATCTCTTTCTCCATGTATCACCTCGTTCTATCTCTTTCTCCATGTATCACCTCGTTCTATCTCTTTCTCCATGTATCACCTCGTTCTATCTCTTTCTCCATGTATCACCTCGTTCTATCTCTTTCTCCATGTATCACCTCTTTCTCCATGTATCACCTCGTTCTAATTCTTTCTCCATGTATCATGTCGTTCTATCTCTTTCTCCATGTATCACCTCGTTCTATCTCTTTCTCCATGTATCACCTCGTTCTATCGCTTTCTCCGTGTGTCCCCTCGTTCTATCGCTTTCTCGCTTTATTGCCATCGTCTCGTGCCGACACTGTCTCGTGCTATGCTTTCCCATCTCGTGTTATCACTTTATCGCTTTCTCGTGGTGGTAAATATAAGCGAGAAAGCAATGTTCCCTCTCGGCCACCATAGAATATGCGTTTCAGTAAAAATATGGTTTTATGTGTATATTTAGTTGATTTGTTTCGGTCAGGTAGAAGCTACTTGGGGTACGAGGAGATTGCTGTGCACCCTTCCTGTCATCCGGGCAACTCAGCTGACATAGCGGCTAATTCATGTCAACGTTTATTTGCATTAACATTAATTTCCTAGTTACTATTTACTGTCAGCCACCGTGAACGAGTTGTGCAACTGGACTGCCAGGCTAAGTAAGTATACTTGAAAATTGGATTTGACCAAACAGATACAAGCGTTATCAAAACGTTACAAGACTGAAAACAGTCGCCGAAACACTGCAAACTGAAGGTCCTACACACAACAGTTATGATACCCGTATCATATACATGGCCACTGAATAACCAGGCCTTGTTTGTTTCATCTGTAGTCATCATCAACCATGATTGTATACTCTCTTTTGCCCGGAGATGTGTATTGCTGCGTGCGGGTCTGTGGACCGGACCGCACAGTCGCATTACAAGTATTTTTACATAAAACGTACCCCCGACCGCACATTATTAGAGATATTGCTATAATGTCTTCTGTCCGATAATTAAGGGAACGTAGTACGGCCACGGTGAAAATTATATTTGTCTAAGTATCTTATACGTAGGACTTATCTCCTACGTAGGTCTTAGTATGGACTAGAATAACTATATCCTACGTAGGACTTACTATCTCCTTAGTATGGCCTAGAATCACTATCTCCTACGTAGGACTTAGTATCTCCTACCTAGGAGATACTAAGTCCTACGTAAGAGATACTATGTCCTACGTAGGAGATACTAAGTCCTACGTAGGAGATACTAATTCCTTATTAGGAGATACTAAGTCCTCCGTAGAAGATAGTAAGTCCTACGCAGGAGATACTAATTCCTACGTAGGAGATACTAAGTCCTACGTAGAAGATAGTAAGTCCTACGCAGGAGATACTAAGTCCTACGTAGGAGATACAAAGTCCTACGTAGGAGATACTTAGTCCTACGTAGGAGATAATAAGACAAAAACCGTGGTCCTTCTACGCTTTCGCAAATAATACATTTGAGAATACAGGGTTAGAGATATTTCGCAACCGTGTGTTGTTGTGATAGTCTAGGGTACACTAGGGCGGGGTGTTTATGAATTGATATTTGAAAGTCATGTCCTCGCACCTGGTTACTTTTCACTCACCACTGCAGGGCATGATAAATGTGAATGACATGTTTGGCTCGTTTCTGCTGGTGTCGGGTTTTTGTTTGTTTGTTTGTTTGTTGTTTAGCGCCGCACTCAGCAATATTACAGCTATATGACGACGGCCTGTACGTAATCGAATCTGGAGCAGACAATCCAGTGGTTGACATCATGAGCATCGATCCACGCAATATGGATACGATAACATGCATCAACCAAGTCAGCGAACCTGACCATCCGATCTTGGTAGTGGCTCTTACGCTAATAGTTTCCTGGATCCTCCAGCTGAAACACAAGCTGATATTAATGAAAACATTTATTTCTCAACATCAATACATTAGACACATTTGGTCAAATAAACCATAAGGGGCGGTTGGGTAGCCTAGTGGTGTAAGTGTTCGCTCATCAGGCCGAATGTCCTGGTTCGTTTCGTCATGGGTACAATGTATGGAGACTATTATCTCCTGCCGTTACATTATTAAAAGCGGCGTAAAATCATATCCGCTCACTAATTCAGCATGGTTTTGCATACATAAAGAAGAATAGAATTTCGAAACCGTTTTCGTTTGAAAAGTTGGTGATGAAAATTCTTTTCCAAATTGCATCTGTGTGTTTAATGAACAAATGCATTTTGAATATACACACTGTAAGCAGAGGGCATACCTTGGCTCAACCTCGATTATCAGTCGTAAAAGTGCACTTTTAGATTCACTGGCTATTTGAGGATGACTGCCTCGGAATTTGAACTTGAAATACAAGTTGTATTAATACCAGTAACTTGTCTGTAACTACAGATAACTCGATAGGTGTATCGGCACCCCCGCTTGTCTGTAACTACAGATAACTCGACATGTGTATCGACACTCCGTTTGTCTGTAACTACAGATAACTCGACATGTGTATCGACACTCCGTTTGTCTGTAACTACAGATAACTCGACATGTGTATCGACACTCCGTTTGTCTGTAACTACAGATAACTCGACATGTGTATCGACACTCCGTTTGTCTGTAACTACAGATAACTCGACATGTGTATCGACACTCCGTTTGTCTGTAACTACAGATAACTCGAACTTGAGATAACACCGTTAGGTGCATCGGCACACCGCACGTCTCGAACTAGAGATAGCTCGATAGGTGTATCGACACTCCGCACGTCGGTAACTAGAGATAACTCGATAGGTGTATCGGCACCCACGCTTCCCTCGAACTGCAGACAGGTCGACAGGTGTATCAGCACTCTGCTTTCCTCGAACTGCAAATAGGTCGACAGATGTATCAGCACTCTGCTTCCCTGGAACAAAAGATAGGTCGACAGATATATCAGCACTCTGCTTCCCTCGAACTGAAGATAGGTCGACAGATGTATCAGCACTCTGCTTCCCTCGAACTGAAGATAGGTCGACAGATGTATTAGCACTCTGCTTCCCTCGAACTGAAGATAGATCGACAGATGTATCAGCACTCTACTTCCCTCGAACTGAAGATAGGTCGACAGATGTATCAGCACTCTGCTTCCCTCGAACTGAAGATAGGTCGACAGATGTAGCAGCACTCTGCTTCCCTCGAACTGAAGATAGGTCGACAGATGTATCAGCACTCTGCTTCCCTCGAACTGAAGATAGGTCGACAGATGTATCAGCACTCTACTTCCCTCGAACTGAAGATAGGTCGACAGATGTATCAGCAGTCTGCTTCCCTCGAACTGAAGATGGGTCGATAGATGTAGCAGCACTCTGCTTCCCTCGAACTGAAGATAGGTCGACAGATGTATCAGCACTCTGCTTCCCTCGAACTGAAGATAGGTCGATAGATGTATCAGCACTCTGCTTCCCTCGAACTGAAGATAGGTCGACAGATGTATCAGCACTCTGCTTCCCTCGAACTGAAGATAGGTCGACAGAAGTATCAGCACTCTGCTTCCCTCGAACTGAAGATAGGTCGACAGATGTATCAGCACTCTGCTTCCCTCGAACTGAAGATATGTCGACAGAAGTATCAGGACTCTGCTTCCCTCGAACTGAAGATAGGACGACAGATGTATCAGCACTCTGCTTCCCTCGAACTGAAGATAGGTCGACAGATGTATCAGCACTCTGCTTCCCTCGAACTGAAGATATGTCGACAGAAGTATCAGCACTCTGCTTCCCTCGAACTGAAGATAGGACGACAGATGTATCAGCACTCTGCTTCCCTCGAACTGAAGATAGGTCGACAGATGTATCAGCACTCTGCTTCCCTCGAACTGAAGATAGGTCGAAAGGTATATCGGCCCTCTGCTTGTCTGGAACCTCAGATAACTCGGTATGTGCATCGGCTTTCTGCTTGTCTGGAACAACAGATAACTCGACAGATGCATCGGCACTCTGCTTCTCTCGAACTGCAGATAGGTCGACATGTGTATCGGCACTCCGTGTTGACTACAGACAGGTATTCGACGATCCCTGGGACTATAGGTTAAAGAGGTTGAACAGTATTTCAGTGACATCGCGGCGTGCCACGTCCATTGGGGCAGATGTTGATGCTAGACGTGACTTTAGTGAAACATACGAGCGCTAGCACACCAAGGGTTATAAACGGGGGATAACAGCAGGATAAACAGCAGGATAAGATTGGTTGGTTGGTTTGTTGTTTAACGCCGTACTCAGCAATATTCCAGCTGTATGACGGCGGTCAGTAAATAATCGAGTCTGGACCAGACAATTCAGTGACTGACAACATGAGCATCGATCAACGCAATTGGGATCGATGACATGCATGAACCAAGTCAGCGAGCCTGACCACCCGATCCCGTTGGTCGCCTCTTACGACAAGCATAGTCGCCTTTTACGGCAAGCATGGGTTGCTGAAGACCTATTCTACCCGGGATCTTCACAGGTTTCATTATATTGGAATACTGGAGTAGTACATACATATCTCAGTCTATACAACTGTGAGTCATCGTGGTGCTACCTGTACTTCGTTGCGTTCAATAAAGGGGTGGGTATTTCTGTCCAATATAAAAGTTATATGAGATTAAATGACATTGCAAGTATCATTATCAGTATCAGTCAGTGGCTATTACTTCCATGAAATGAGGGGGCACGGGTGTCCAAGTCGTCTAAGGCGTTATTCGCTGTGCAGAGTTGCGTCCCTTAGGCACGCCAGAAACCTATGATTGTGGGTTCGAATCCCTGTTCGCCCCGATTATGTTTCTAGGTTTGTCAGCACCATACCCGTGCTCGTGGGTTTCAACGAAGTGGTAAACGTCTGATGCCTGCATCACTTCGGGCTTTCCTCCCACATTAAGCTGACACGTCGTGATATAACTGGAATACTGTTAAAAGCGGCGTTAAACCCCACTCACTCACTCCATGAAATGGCGGTTCACAGGAAGTACTGCAACACTAAGAAGTGTTCGGGAAGTGAGGTAGCCCTGTGGTTAAAGCGTTGGCTCGTCACGCCGTAGACCCGGGTTCGATTCCCCACATGGGTACAATGTGTGAAACCTATTTCCCGGTGTTCCCCGCTGTGATAGTGGTGGAATATTGCTAAAAGCGGCGTAAAATTCATATCTACTCACTCGCGAAGAAGTGTTCATTTATGGTCGTGTCAGAACCAATTTATTTAAGTGATATTGTTGTGTTGACACACCTAAAGCTTTACATTAACATTTTGTTTTAATAAAGCAAAATTTCATAATAAATCACGTCATACACTTTGGGCAGCGACGATGGCTCTGTTGCTCGGGACCCGTGAAGATTCCGGTGTAGAATAGGTCTTCAGCAACCCATGCTTGTCGTAAAAGGAGACTAACGGGATCGGGTGGTCAGGCTCGCTGACTTGGTTGATGCATATCATCGATCCCAATTGCGTGGATCGATGCTCATGATATTAATCACTGGATTGTCTGGTCCAGACTCGATTATTTACAGACCGCTGGAATATTGCTGAGTGCGGCGTTAAACAACAAACAAACCAACCAACCTGTTGCTCGGAAGTCGACATATCCGCATTAGATAACCTTCGAACACCGAGTTTATTTGCAGATCCTCCCTCTTAATACAGTATAGACCAATATAATGATCTATTCATGTTCTTGGGTTGGGTTGGGTTAAAACACGCCTACTTTCACATATCCACTTACTAAAACCGGGTCATTCATAAAAAATGATAAAAATCTTTTTGATTGTCCCCGATTTACAAAAAAATAAATGAATGGTGTGTGTTTATCAAACATTATGTTCCTCAATGACTGATAAATGCCGGGGTTCCCCCTACACACAGTTGATGGTACTTGTCATCGCGCGTCAACAATTGAGTATTAGATACATATTTACCCTACCCTAACACAAATAATAATATAAAAAGACTGGTTTAACATACGACTCCCTTCCTCTATATATTGACATTACGTCGTAGCACTAGTATGCGTTATTACTGAAGACTTTTACACTTGTATTGTGTTAGATTGACATCTGTGAGAGCCATTACCTCGGTTCTCTCCCTTGACGCTCTGTCTATATTGACTTAAGCTTACTTTATTTTGTATGTGTGTTCTTCTTTAATATTTGCTCATTTTCAATCGCTGTTCGAGATGTTCATCATAATATGGGCCGAGCTTTGATGGGAATAAAAGAAACAAACCCTTTTCACAATCATACGAAATCTCTTCTTAAAGCAGAGGCCACTGAACGATTCCGACTTTGTCATGAGCATGTGTTTATAAATCACTATCAAATAGTGACAAACACATGCAAAGGCAACTCAGTTGTTCAAGTGATAAAAAAGCCCACGGGAACACGTGGTCCATGTCAAAATAAGAAATTGCATCGGACAGTACTCATGCGTCAAATTTATAATTGCCCTCCACCTGTCTATCGTAAAACGTTTTGAAAGCTTTACTGAGGCCTTGAATGTACTCACTGAGGCCTTGAATGTACTCATTGAGGTCTTGAATGTACTCACCGAGGCCTTGAATGTACTCACCGAGGCCTTGAATGTATTCCCCGAGGCCTTGAATGTACTCACTGAGGTCTTGAATGTACTCACCGAGGCCTTGAATGTACTCACCGAGGCCTTGAATGTACTCACCGAGGTCTTGAATGTACTCACCGAGGCCTTGAATGTACTCACCGGGGTCTTGAATGTACTCACCGAGGCCTTGAATGTACTCACTGAGGCTATGAATGTACTCACTGAGGCCTTGAATGTACTCACCGAGGTCTTGAATGTACTCACTGAGGCCTTGAATGTACTCACTGAGGCCTTGAATGTACTCACCGAGGTCTTATAAGTACTCACCGAGGCCTTGAATGTACTCACCGAGGTCTTGAATGTACTCACCGAGGTCTTGAATGTACTCACCGAGGCCTTGAATGTACTCACCGAGGCCTTGAATGTACTCACCGAGGCCTTGAATGTACTCACCGAGGTCTTGAATGTACTCACCGAGGTCTTGAATGTACTCACCGAGGCCTTGAATGTACTCACCGAGGCCTTGAATGTACTCACTTGGGCCTTGAATGTACTCACTGAGGCCTTGGATGTACTCACCGAGACCTTGAATGTACTCACTGAGGCCTTGGATGTACTCACCGAGGCCTTGAATGTACTCACTGAGGCTATAAATGTACTCACCGAGGTCTTAAATGTACTCACCGAGGCCTTGAATGTACTCACTGAGGCCTTGAATGTACTCACCGAGGTCTTGAATGTACTCACCGAGGCCTTGAATGTACTCACCGAGGCCTTGAATGTACTCACCAAGGTCTTGAATGTACTCACTGGGGCCTTGAATGTACTCACCGAGACTTTGGATGTACTCACCGAGGCCTTGAATGTACTCACCGAGGCCTTGAATGTACTCACTTGGGTCTTGAATGTACTCACCGAGGCCTTATTTAACGGATAGTTTGGCCCACTGTGCAATGTTTGTTGTTTAACACCGTACTCAGCAATATTACAACTATATGACGGCGCTCTGTAAATAATCGAGTCTTGACAAAAAAATCCAGTGATTGACATCGTGAGCATCGACACACGCAATTGGGGCAGGATGACAAGCATCAACCAAGTCAGCAAGCCTGACCACCCGATCCCGTTAGTCGCCTTTTACGACAATCATATTCGCCTTTTGCAGCAAGCATGTGTTGTTGAAGGCTATTCTACCTCGGATCTTCACGGTTTGGTTTGGTTTATTTGTTGGTTAACGCCGCACTCAGCAATATTCCCGCTATATGACGGCGGTCTGTAAATAATCGAGTCTGGACCAGACAATCCAGTGATTGACATCATGAGCATCTTCACGGATCCACTTTGCAATGCTTGATGCCTGATGAGAACATGACAAATTTTGTATTTCTTGTTCTAATAAGTGTTCTACATAACATAGATAATAATGTGTTGCCAAACCAGGATATCAACAAATGGTTTGGGATGCCTGTTAAAAGATAAAAAGAACGGACTCGACGATTGCATATTTCTCTGAGGTAAAACAATATGTAGGTAACACATACTTGCCTAACCAGCGTACGAAACAACGCAATGTATAAGTGGTTACACTGACCAGGTCTCCTGAGATGATTGCCCGAGGCAGAAACAGTGGGGGTGCACAGCTTAGAAGAATGAGTGAGTGAGTTGTGTTAAACACCCGTTTAACAATATCTCAGTTATGCCATGGTATGTCAGCCACAGTGGAACAGGTCGAAGACGTTTATCATTTTGGAAAACTGACAATCACGGTTAGGTAGTGAAGCTGGCAGGCCAATGATCAGACTGTATGGGAACTGAACCAATGACTAGCGGGTCATGACACAGATAAGGGGCGTAATTCTGCAATGCCTTAAACCACTGCGCCACCCGTGCCCTTGGTCTAATGAGAGGTGATTGATGTATTAACTCGATTTGTGATGGAGGCACGTGTTAATATTAAAACTTTTGGTAGAATCACCCAATCTTGTTCTTACTGTGAGGGGTGGTCGGGTTGCGTAGTGGCTCGTCACGCCGAAGACCCGGGTTCGATTCCCGACATGGGTACAATGTGTGAAGCCCATTCCTGGTGTCCCCCGCCGTGATATTGCTGGAATATTGATAAAAGCGGCGTAAAACCATACTCACTCACTCTTAATGTAGAGGTGATGTGAAAAGTGTAGCTGGAACGTACTGCTCTGCGATGTAACAAAGCCGACTTTCTGGAAATCTGCCAAGTCTGTGACAAATTCAGATATCTCTGACAATATATGCACAAGTAAGTAAAAACATGTACATTGAGAAAGCTGAATAATCTCGTGAGACGTTGAGGTAGAATTCGCAAATTTAAGTTGTTTTCTTGATCAAATGGTTCATTAGTTAAATCTATATGGATAGAAAATAAAAAAATATATAACCCTACTGTATCGGACGGTAGATCATTTATGATACACATTAACTTCAAACATGTTTATTTAGCCAGAGGATTAAGTGAAGCACACGCATAACATACGCGTAGCCCCACCATCAGTTATGCGTCTTTAAAGTGCAATAATTCCTATCTTGTGGGTTAGCAGTATTGCAAATCACACTGTGGCGGGTGTTTAAAATGTCGTTAGAATTTCATGCAGTCAATCCAATTCAAAAACCTTTAGAATATTATATATCTGAATTCCCTCCTGTAACTGAATGTGGATTAGAATTTACTTCACTGTGGTGTATTTAACCGTGCGGGGTCCGCCATGCTAAATGGGATGAATAGTCAGCCAACCACATGGAGGTTCCTTTTGAAACGTGTTTGTCACCGCATTATGTGTAGACTAGGAGCTGTGTTTCCAAATACATTAATGAATTATGTTACAGTCCTTGTCCTATTACATTTGCCCCTTTGCCCGATAGCCCGAGCTACCTCAAGCTGGGCTGTGATGGCTGTTGTAGACAGCATTGCGATATTGTCATTTTGCAGTTCAAACTTTCTGCCGATAATTTTGAAGAATGAAACAACAGGGAGCAAAATTACGTCGACATCGCTGGCCAGTGAACTGTCCACTCACAATAACCAGATCAATTCGCCTGTCATGTTTGATACCTCCCTACACCGTGACACCACCGCCCCCATACCGATCATGGTCAAGAATTGCTGCCCTTGCATACTGCTCGCCGCTACGTCGCCAACAAAGTTTTCTGCCATCTGTGAATCGGACGCAAAACTTTGATTCGTCTGTAGCCACGGTGCAACGCAGTTGTCGCACAACCCGTCCCTTGTGTTGCCAAGCCCCCCAGTCTTGTTTCTATGGTGAGCTGTTAGGGTCACGTCCTTCACAGGACGCCTGGTTTTCACGCGGGCTGCATGGAGCCGGTTTTAACGGTTGATGTTGAAATTCGCCTTCCTGTCATTGTTCGGATACCAGGAGTTCGCGAAAAGGTCAGCGTATCCTGTCGGCACCCGTCACAAACACATGCAAAGGGAAGTCAATTGTTCAAATATAAAAACACAAGTCAAAATAGGGAGAACAATAACAACAGACATGGCCACAGCGTCAGACTGAGTATAGATATCAGAACGCATGCATGTTTGTTGTTTAACGCCACACTCAGCATTTTTTCAGCTAGTTGACAGGGCTCTATGCAAATAGTCGAGTCTGGACCAGACAATCCAGTGATTGACATCATGAGCATCGATCCACGCAATAGGGATACGATGGCATGGATCAACCAAGTCAGCGAACCTGACCACCCGATCCAGTTAGTCCCCTTTACAACACCTGATATTATCACTTTTTGATAGTGAGTGAGTGAGTGAGTATGGTTTTACGCCGCTTTTAGCAATATTCCAGCAACATCACGGCGGGGGATACCAGAAATGGGCGTCACACATTGTACCCATGTCGGGAATCGAACCCGGGTCTTCGGCGTGACGAGCGAACGCTTTAACCGCTAGGCTACCCGACCGCCCCCTTTTTGATAGTGATTCGTAAACACATGCTCTCGATATAATCGGCTCTGTTTTAGGCAGATATTTCTTATGAATATGGAAAGGATTTTGTCGCTTTTATTTAGAAATCGCCGTTACTTACGCATCGGAATTAACGGCCATAGTGTGAACACAGCTTAAGTCGTTCAGCTTGGGACATTGAGACATTTTTGGCGTATTTGGGCAACCTTTAACTGTTAGATTGATCTGTATTATAAGATTTAAGAAAGCAGACAGAAAAAGTGTTGTTTTAATGACCTCCGTAACACTTACTGGGTTAAATTATCTGCGGTAACCGCCTCTCCGCGCTGCTCCTAAACAAATTACTTTTGTGGTTTGCTACACAGAGCTTTGTCCCGTTCAGTAGTGTTTTCCTAATACACATGTAGGTCTCTAGGCTCTAGTAACCCTTAAAGGTATTCAGTACCGTGACCGTACACAGCTACCATGTCTTGGCATAAAGAGTACACACAACCCGTTAACCTTACAATTCATAAATTTGTTTGTACAACTCCGGCGCGTGGGTTGACATATACCTATAGCAGTATTTGTGTGTCGCGCCCATTTCTATACGATGTTGATGAGCCTTGCCCTCTTATATCTGGCCATGGCTTTGGGACTAATGGAACGTGACGTACACAATACACACTGCATTCTGTCTTTAACGAATAAGAGGGCCAAGGCCGCTGTGACTCTAATTATAAGTAATGCTTGCGTTGCCTTCAAATACTGAATTCCTTTTAGGGAAAGCATGCGTTTCTCTGTGGGTCAAAGTGATCGTTTTTGTCAAGCACACTGCTTGTCCATAGAATAATATTTAGTCAAGGTTGCATTAACTTGACAACACCGTTCATAGGGAATAATTTTACGCTGTTTTAAGATATCTCGAACTATCATGGAACTAAGGAGACATTTTCATACGACATCGAAGTCCTATTAATTCTACAAAAGCTTAATGGTGCCACTTTGGAAGCATAGATATTTATTTTCAGATCGAAATTTCTCGTTATTTTCATTATTTTTTCGAAATTTCGAGTTTTTTCTCGTCATTTCGATTATATTTACGTAATTTCAATTATGTTCTCGTTACTTCGAGTTTTCTCTCGTAAATTCGATTATTTTCTCGTTATTTCAAAACTATTTTCTCGTTACTTCGATTTTTTCTCTCGTTACTTTAATTATTTACTCGTTATTTCAATTAGTTTCACGTTGCTTCGAGTTATTTTCTCTTTACGGGATTATTTTCTCGTACATTTCGATTTTCTCGCTGTATCAAGTTGATTACGAAAACTCGAAATTTCGATTTTTTTTCTCGTTACTTCGAAAATAATTGGACTAACGAGTACTATAATCCAAATTTTGAGTTTTTTAATAAACTTGAAATAAAAAGAAAATAATCGAATTTACGAGAAAATAATCGCAGTAACAAGAAAAAAATCGAAACAACGAGAAAATAATCGAAATTCCGAGTTTTTGAGATAAACTTGTAAAAAAAGGAAAAAATATTCGAAGTAACGAAAAAGAACTCGTTATTTTGAGAAAATAATTGAAATAACGAAAAATAATGCTACCATTAGTGACTCCAGTAGGCTTCCGTATAATACATGTCTAGGCTATCACGGCACCTGATGAAACTATGGTTATGGGACACTGTATACCATTCTAGATAGGCACACGAACCCGGTCGTATGGTGTAATATAAAACATCAAAGCCAGAGAAATGGTAATCAATTTCAGTTTATGCATTTTAATATGAGTTATGAAAACAAAACAAGATCGATGCTTGGTGTTTCTAGATTCATCCATATGATGTCCCGCTGAATCCCCATCGATCACTCAAAGGATCAGTGTTGTCCGTTGTTGAAGTGCTCTGATTTCTTATACACTGCCAATTACATGTACAAAGCACGAACCCTGTCAAGGTCCGAGTTAGTATGCTTAAAATTGGTCTTCAGCAACCAATGCTTGTCACACGAGGCGACTAACGGGATCGAGTGGTCTGGCTCGCTGACTTGATTGATGTTTGTTTGTTGTCAGCAATATTCCAAGATATATGACAGCGGTCTGTAAATAATCAAGTCTGGGCCAGACAATCCACAATCCGCGCAATTGGGATACGATGCCATGCATCAACAAAGTCACCCGTAAAAGGCGACTATACTTGTCGTAAGAAGCGACTAACGGGATCGGGTGGTCAGGCTCGCTGACTTGGCTGATGCATGTCATCGTATCCCAATTGCGTGGATCGATGCTCATGATGTCAATGACTGGATTGTCTGGTCCAGACTCGATTATTTACAGACCTCCGTCATATAGCTGGAATATTGATGAGTGCGGCGTTAAACAACAAACAAACAAAGAAAACAAACAAACCAAGTCCCCGCGTCTGACCACCCGATCCCGTCAGTCGCCTCATACAAGCCTGGGGTGTTGAAGACCAATTCTGACCCGGATCTTCACGGTCGACTTGGTTGATGCATGACATCGTACCCCATCTACGTAAAGCTCATTATATAGATCCCTAGATTGTCTGGTCCAGACACGGCTATTAAAACCGCTGTCACACAGCTGTAATATGCGGCTTTAAAGGAAAAAACAAACAAAACTATCAAGTATAGGACTGGTGCTTAGCTTTTTTCCAGGTGTATATACAATACATATCTGATGTGACTCAGCCAAACTTTAATCTGAGTGGTATTAATTATATTGTTTTCAAATGAATTCGTTCCATTTTACTCTAAAGCCGTAAATGAACTGAAATGATCATATTGCAAAGACAAACATTGAAATTAAACTGAAGATATTTTGATATTTTACAGACGCATCACAAGTGAAATTTGCAACAGTCCCGGACCTCGGACCTATTCTAACCCGAGTCCCTGGCCTATAGTACACTGTTTGGTTTGGTTTGTTGTTTAACGCTGCATATTCCAGCTGTAATACGACGGTCTGTAAATAATCGAGTCTGGGCCAGACAATCAAGTGATTGACATCATGAGCTTCGATCCACGCAACTGGGATCGATGACATGCATCAACCAAGTCAGCGAGCCTGACCACCCGATGCCGTTAGTCGCCTCTTAGGACATGCAGAGTCGCCTTTTACGACAAGCATGGGTTGCTGAAGACCTATTCTACCACGATCTTCACGGTCTCTTCAGCACTGAGCCAGTTGGCTACTTTAATGTGAATGGCGCACCATCATGTCTATTCAACTGTTTGTGTTTTGTTTTAACTGTTTACGTAGCAGTGACTAAAATAATCCACTGCATATTGTGTCAATGTTGGCTCAGTAGATTAAGTTTGCCCTGAGCAAGATCAGCCATTTTCTGCTCATGAATATTGCTTCTTAATTTTAGCAATGTGATAAAACACAGCAGATGGACACCAGTTATCCAGAATCCATTGGCTTGAATTTCTGCTCCAGTCATACCAAGACCCTGGTGTTGTACTCCCTTATGGAAATGTCGAATCACAACTTCTGTGTTAAGAAGACTCCTTGGTAGATTCACAGGGTGCCATATGCCACACAACCCAGCTTGTTGTCCACGTCCACCATGTAGAACACCCTTGCCATTCAGAAAGGAGTCCAGTTTGTACAGACAGCTAGTCTTCTTCATTGTTTTGTTGCAGTTAGCAGCTACTGTCCTGTCAAACTTGTTAAAATCAAATCTTGGTTCTCGTTACCTCGAAGCTAAGATCTGAGGACACCCCATTACGAGTCACGTCAGACCGACCTTGTGCAAACCGACCAATGGAATAACTAACAAGAAGTCAACAGTAGCCAATCAGAAGGCAGCTTTCTCGTGCTTTACGGCACTAATTTCAAATTGGTGACAATGCTTCGAAACATATTTTGACAAATTTGCGATGAAAAATTTGAAATCTGAACAAAGAACATTCTGTAATGGCTAATATATGGTCTAGATTGAGTGGATTCATTCAGTCGTTAAGCCTGTAACTATCATTCAG